ATTTGTCCTAATTCTCTCCCCTCTTGCCTCCCCACCTTGCAACAGGCCCTGGTGTGTGATGTTTCCCCTCCCTATGTTCATGTGTTCTCATTGTTCAACTCTCACTTATGAGTGAGAACTTGCTGTGTTTGGTTTTCTGTTTCTGTGTTAGTTTGCTGATGGTTTCCAGCTTCATCCATGTCCCTGCAAAGGACATGAACTCATTCTTTTTTATGGCTGCATAGTATTCCATGCTATATATGTGCCACATTTTCTTTATCTAGTCTATCATTGATGGGGATTTGGGTTGGTTCCAAGTCTTTGCTATTGTAAACAGTGCTGCAATAAACATAGGTGGGCATGCATCTTTATAGTAGAATGATTTATAATCCTTTGGCTGTATACTCAGTAATGGGATTGCTGGGTCAAATGGTATTTCTGGTTCTAGATCCTTGAGGAATCTCCATACTGTGTTCCACAATGGTTGAAATAATGTACACTCCCGTCAACAATGTAAAAGCTTTCCTATTTCTCTGCATCCTCACCAGCATCTGTTGTTTCTAGACTTTTTAATGATCGCCATAATAACTGGCATAAGATGGTATCTCATTGTGGTTTTGAATTGCATTTCTCTAATGACCAGTGATGATGAGCTTTTTTTCGTGTTTTTTGGCCGCATAAATGTCTTCTTTTGAGAACTGTCTGTTCATATCCTTTGCCCATCTTTTGATGGTTTTCTTTTTTTTTTTGTAAATTTGTTTAAGTTCTTTGTAGATTCTGGATGTTAGTCCTTTGTCAGATGAATGGATTGCAAAAATGTTCTCCCATTCTGTAGACTGCCTGTTTACTCTGATGATAGCTTCTTTTGTTGAGCAGAAGCTCTTTCATTTAATTAGATTCCATTTGTCAGTTTTGGTTTTTGTTGCAATTGCTTTTGGGATATGTGGTCACTCCACTTATGCAAGATTTTTCTGGGACATAGCCCATAATTAGCAAGATACATACTGAATATCCTTTCCCTTTCTGGTGATTTCCAACTGGCATCTGTTTTAATTGGTTGGTACATACACTGGATGATTGCTGCAGATTTTGGTATCACACTTGCTAGAAACTACTCATGGGGGGAGTTCTAGGGTCACATATCATAGACATACTTAATAAGTTTGAGTTCCTGTTTACAGATGGTGGAATTTGAAAATCTGTCTACTTGTTTTTCAGGAGCTTTTGCATTTATACTATATATTTATTCATCCTTTCTCTGTCAAACTATCTAGTTTGGAGCTTTAGCAGCCACTAATTTATTGACAATTACTCCTGGCTCCTTATTCCCAGTAGAGCAACTACTGTGTAGTTTATAAAGAATTGTTTTCATATTTTATGTATTGGACCCTAACATCCTTTGAGATAGAGAGGGCAGAATTTATACTTCTTATTTTATGGAAAATGAAGCTGAGGATCAGAGGCAAACTGACTTGCTTCGGTCTGCATATCTGGTAAGTTACAAACTTAGAACCAAGTCTTTTGACTTTGATTTGCTTCTACAATATCTAAAAGAGACAGGGAAAAGGATAAGTTTTGGGTTGTGGTTAAAGTAGGAACTGTCCAGGTTAGCTTTATGTCTTCTTCAGAACATAACATATTGCCCAACACATAGTAAATGATTTGCTTCTGCAGTATCTCAAAGGGACAGGAAAAAGGAAAAACTCCAGTTTGTGATCGAAGCAGTGAGTGTCCAGTTTAACTTTATGTCTTCCTTAGACGATAACACAACGTCTGACACGTAAGATTCAATCAGTTTTTATTGAGCAAGTGAACTGGGGATTATGTAGGTATCCGTAGGGCCCGGGTTCAGTTGGTCATGCCACTACTCAATGCTGTGGTGACTATTTTTTATTGCAGCAATGCTTTGGCTTAGAGATAAGCCCAGTTCTATAAATATTATGGCTGAACGAAGGGCTTCAGGTCAGTCCAGGAGTTCTCATGGTAAATAATTCGGTTCATTTACAACAGAAGCAGCAACGGGTTATAAATGCACCTACGTAATATGACTTTGATGGGGTGTGTAGGAGACGGCCCTTGTTTGTTTGTGATAAATCTCAGTATTTCTTCTATTCTTCCTTTTTTTATACAGTTAGCTTTGAATAACCAGGAGCAAAGTTCTTTCTCTTGCTAACTTCTATATTGCACTCAGCTGCTTAACATTTGCTTCCTGTTCCCAAGATCACCAGAGGCAACTGTAGTGTTTGATGAGGATATTGGATTTCATCGAAATATTTTCTCTACTTAGTTTGTTCCAGTTTGGGAGAGGTGGGTTGGCCTTGGCCCCCTTGTTCAAAGCTGCCACAGTTTTGAAGTCCTTTCAAAACCTTTGATAATGATGTTCCATCTATTTTTCCACCTTATCTCAAATTTCCCACCTTCTACAATACAAATTGAGGGTGCTCTAAGAAAATTAGGTTAGTAAGTTAACCTACTATTCTTAACAGTGTCTTCCAGAAGTAGCACCTTCTGATTTATTTATTTAGAGAACAGGGTCTTGCTATGTTGCCCAGCCAGGTCACAAACTCCAGAGGTAGCACTTTCTGTCATGTATCTTTTAATTTTATTATTTTACTGAATAAATAATTTTTGTTCTCTAGCTGCAGAGATTTTATGCATAAGGTATGCTTTTTATTTATTTTGCTTTTGAGAGGGAGTCTCATTCTGTCACCCAGGCTGGAGGGCAGTGGCACCGTTTTGGCTCACTGCAACCTCTGCCTCCTAGGCTCAAGCTATCCTCCCCCTCAGTCTCCTGAGGCTGCTCATGTGCCACCACGCCTGGCTAATTTTTTGTATTTTTGGTAGAGACAGGGTTTCACCACATTGCCCAGGCTGGTCTCAAACTCCTGACCTCAAGTTATCCACCCACCTTGGCCTCCCAAAGTGTTGGGACATTACAGGTGTGAGCCACCCCACCTGGCTAAGGTATGCTTTTTTTAAATTAGATGCTCCCTGTTGTGTCTTTCTTTGGTCATGTTTTTCTTTAAATCACAAATTGATTTGCTAGTGCTTATAACATACTGTGAGCTTTAGGTATAAGCTTTTCTCCCACCAATGGGGAGAACTTTTAGAAAGCCCATATATGTCTCTTTAAGTATCTTTTCTATTGAGACCAGTAGTAGGCTGGTGATTATGGCTATTCTTTCCAGTTGCACCACCAGATATTTGGTTCTTGTTTCTAAACTATCTCCTTTCTCTTATACTGGGGCCCTGAATTCTACCAGTAGCTGACATTAAGAAAACCCTAGGGACGTTCCTTTTTTTTCTTTTCTTTTTCTCTTTATGCATGAGTAAAATCCCTTTCTAGCAGTGGTTTCTGTACAATGAAATCCTCTCCAGCACTTTGTCATTGGTTCATGGAAATAGCACTTTGGTAGTCAGTTTTCTTTCCTTCTCTTTTTTCTTTCTTTTAATATTTTATTGTGGTAGGAACACTTAACATGAGATCTACTCTGAACAGATTTTTCAGTGTACAATATAGTGTTATCTACAGGCACAGTGTTGTACAGCAGATCTCTAGAACTTAATTCATCTTGCATAACTAAAATTATATCCATCTTAAACAGTCAAACTAATAGAAACAAAGATTAGAATGGTGGTTTTCAAGGACTTAGGGAAGAGGAATTGAGGAGCTGCTAATCAAGGAGCCATCAGTTTTTTTCTACAGTGAATAAAACTTGTCAGTTACTGTAACCAAGTATAGACTGAGTAGCCCAAGTCCAAAAATCTGAAATCTGAAATGCTCCCAACTCCAAAACTTTTTAAAGGTCAGCATGACGTTCAGAGGAAATGCTCACTGAAGCATTTCAGATTTCAGATTTTTGGATTAGGGATGTTCAACTGATAAGTTTAATCCATACATTCCAAAATCCCCCAAATTCAAAACTGAAAACACATTTGATCCTAAGCATTTTGGATACTCAATCTATATATGGTTGTACTTGAAGTAGCAAAGGAAGGGAGAGTAAATTTGGTGGTTTAGTCCTACATGAAACAGCAGTTAACTTTCTGGTTCTGAGGTTTCTCTGCTAACACCTACACCACTGCCTCTACCAACCAAAATAGAAAAAAATAAACAAGACTCTCGAGACCTTTCTCCAAAGCACTGTCATACATGAATTCTCCAGAAGCTTGGGAGAAGGAAAGAATGGAAGGGAAGGGAAGGTATGGTTAGGAATCGCTCACACCAAATTAGGAACAGTTCATTTGATAATTGGTTAAAATGCATAGCTTCTTCTCATGAACACAGCTAACCCTGCTACATTAATATCAGGTTAGCTGGGCATGGCGGCTTATGCCTGTAGTCCCAGCTACTTGGGAGGCTGAGGCAGGAGAATTGCTTGAACCCAGGAGGCAGAGGTTGCAGTGAGCCAAGATCGCGCCACTGCACTCCAGCCTGGCTCCTGGTGATGGAGCGAGACTCTGTCTCAAAAAAAAAAAAAAAACATTAATATCAGGAATGTCAGGAATTGGGTCCTCTGAATACCATCAACAGCATCAAAATTAAATATAAGTAGAAGAAGTTACACCTAGGCTGGGCATGGTGACTCACATCTGGAATCCTAGAACTTTGGGAGGCCAAGGCAGGAATGACTGCTTGAGGCCAGAAGTTCATAAGCAGCCTAGGCAACATAGCAAGACTCTGTCTCAAAAAAAAGAAAAAGAAAAAGAAAAAAAGAACTTAAAGTAATCACCACTGTTCTTTAAGTTCTATATAGATCTTTCTTTATATATTCAACAAAACAAGTGGATCGCTTTGTATTTTCAGTCGTGCCTCATTTGAGTGGGCAGCTCAATACTCTTGATATTACTGACCTTGTTCATGACGATTCACCAGCTCCATCACAGCCTGACTCACCAGCATCTCCTCCATCAGCCTTTCCTCCCCAGTAATAGGCGTTTCCTCCCTTTCTCGCCATCTTCTCTAATCCCTTTCTTTCTTCTTCACCCCCATCTTTTTCACTCCTCCATGATTTTCTCAGGGCTGGGCTTCAACATCGTCGGTGGGACAGATCAGCAGTATGTCTCCAACGACAGTGGCATCTACGTCAGCCGCATCAAAGAAAATGGGGCTGCGGCCCTGGATGGGCGGCTCCAGGAGGGTGATAAGATCCTTTCGGTGAGAACGGGCTTCGGCCTCCTTCACTGTCCTTTCTCCCTAAACCCTAGGTCCTACCCCTATCCCTTCCCTTGAAAAGGTTTGGATCTGGCAATATACAGGTTGTAGAACTGAATGGGAACAACTGTGATCAGTCATCCTTTTCAACGCTATTATTGAGCATGGAGGGTAATATTATGCTTACCTGATAGACGAGAATGTGAAACCCAGAATGTGAAGTTACTTATTCAAAAAGCACAAGGCAGGAAGCGCGAGGGACTCATGGTGAAAAGAGATTTAACATTTAAAATCCACAAATTTTATCTTTCATCCATTACTTTATATAATACCTCCTTTTGTTGATTAAAACATGAATGTGTATCTTTGGGGGAATGTCAGCCCTTACAATTGAATTTAACTTAACTTCAAAAGACAGAAAGAAGGAAGGTTGGGAATTAAGTGTCCTTTTCAGACTCTGAGCCCTTTTTCACCCATTATTAACATGAAAATTTGGAATGCAGTTGATTTGGATAGCGGTGCACCGTGTTCCCATTTTATCCTGCTTATGTCCCTACCGAGACTTACTACATGGCAATTGTTAGTCTTATTCTTTTCCAGAATTTCTTCAAGGGCAGTGACAAGATCCTTTTTTTAACCTTTTGAATCATAGCACAGTGCTTAATAATGTGTAAGAAATGAACAAGTTAAGAAATTCAGGCAAACCTAAAAAGGTTCACTGATAAATATGTACCCGCAGACCTCAGCTCTTAAAATAAATTAGAATAAGCCTAAAGTCAAAACTATTAAAATGCAAAACATAACTCTGACCCTACGTTCATTTCTCTACCTTACCATGGGCTACAGTAATCATATGATACTATCAGTTGCTCGGGGATAAGGGGGTACCCTGGAGATAATTATTCTCTAGAATTTCTTTTTTAAGTAACCTTTAGGGCTAGTGAAAAATGCCCAACTTATTACTTGTATGGAAACAGTATAGATGATTGGCATAAAGACTGGAAAAGTGCTGAGGGGGTGAGATATTATCTAGAATATTCTTGGGAGAGCTAGCTTCAAAGGGCTAGATAAATAAATATAAGGAAATTGAAATAGGATAGGGCTTCTCATAGCAGAAACTCCTGTCTTTTCCAGGTGGGCAATAAGCCCATGGTCTGAAGAGGAGAAAACTATTTCCTGTTTTCTCTTAGAACTGAATAGGGCAGGATCGCCAGGTTAGGAAAAGGTTGAAATAAATGAATGAAGTACAGACAGGAGAAGTCTTGATTGACAGAATTAAGTATTAGCCTCAGAGACGTGATTTTGAACTTACCTCTATAATAAGTCAGCTTCATCCCTTAAACACTTTTTGCTATGTAGTTTCATTTGAATTTTCCTGTTCACATCACGTCTCATGCAGTTCAGTTGATTAGTGATTAAAGGTCATATGTGTGAAGTCTCCTGCTCCTCTTAGTTGCCAGCTTATTGTTCTCTGCCGTGCAGCCAATTTGGTAGCAGTACCTGAAGGCAGAGATACAAAGGAAAAGAGACAGAGAACATCTACCTTTTCCTCATTTGGCATCTGAGTATTTCAGTGATCAGGCTCAGCAGTATGGTTCTGAATGCCTCTTCAGGAAAACTGTGACTCCACTTAGTCCTCAAAAAAGATAGAAAATCAGAACAAGTAGCTATTAGAGCCTCCTTAATTGACTCAAGAATGTCTAAGCATGTGTCCTCGCTGATCCATGATATAAATATAGTATGCACAGCAGTATTTCACTCCTTCTCATTGACTATTTTGCGTCTCTTCAGTCCATTAAGCCTCACTTAGACCCTATTTATTAATCTGTGAGATGGAGACAGTGATAATATACCTGTCTTCTCAAAACGATAGTGAAAAGTTTAGAAGCAGATTGTTTCCTTTAGCTCCCAGGGAAAGACATTCTTCCAATATGAATCAACTTGGCAACAGTACTGTAAGGAAGTGCTGAGAGTGGGTTGTCAAAATAAAGGTGTAGCATTTAGTTAGAATCTATTCATCTTAATATTTTGACACATAAATTACATTCTCTTCAGATCACTGGAACCTGGGCTCTGTTGATGAAGAAAGGCTTGAATAATATAGGAGTTAAGAAGAGAAAGAAGAGAGCTATATTATTTTAAAAGCTTTGGTTAAAGGTAGATTATTTGCAGAATGAGAATGGTGAGAAGTATGTCAGCCCTAAATGTCAAGTAGCATGCTAAGAACCCAAATTTATTTTGTTTAATATTATAGTGACCCTATGAGGTGGGCATGATTATTGTGCCCAAGCCGTTTGCCCTAGGTCACACAACTAGTAAGCAGCAAGGGACTAAAACTGGTTTCACTGAATTTCTAGCCTTTATTTTTTAACCACTATGTTATACTGCCTCCTAAAAGGTAAATCAGGAGCTAGGAATACTTATCCCAAAAACAAAGTTACACAGTGAATTAATAGTAGATTGCATGTATGGTTTTATATAAAAACTAAAATTAGGCCAGGTGCAGTGGCTCATGCCTATAATCCCAGCTCTTTGGGAGGCTGAGGAAGTTGGATCACTTGAGGCCAGGAGTTTGAGACCTGCCTGGCCAACATGGCAAAACCCCATGTCTACTAAAAAAAAAAAAAAAAAATTAGCTGGGCATGGTGGCACGTTCCTTGGTGCACGCGCCTGTAGTCCCAGCTACTCAGGAGGCTGAAGCACGAGAATCGCTTGAACCTGGGTGGTGGAAGTTGCAAAGAGCTGAGATTGCACCAGTATACTCCAGCCTGGGTGGCAGAGTGAGACTCTGTCTCAAAATGAATAAATAAGATAAAAACTGAAATGAGTCTTTCTATAAAGGGTAGAATTAGAAAGAAGGAAATAAACCTCAATGTAAAAAAAATTATTAGATATAAACCAAGATGAGGACCCTTGTGTGAATCATTGCCTCACAGAGAAAAGAAATTAATTGGAAGGCCTCTCAGGTTTTCAAAAAGGCTGGGGCTGCTGATAAATGGTGGGAGATAAATGTCAATGAAGAGAAAAGTAGATGTCTGAATTTATAGCAAAGAGGATTTTACTTTACTAAAACATAAGAAATATAAAGATATATACAAGATATTAAATATTACAAAGATATGTTACAAGGAATGATATGTTTATGTTCTGGCCGTTTAAGGAAAAGGCATGCAAAAGAAGAGAGGGGTAAAAGCCAGGGGAAGGAGAGGCGGCAACAGAAGACATATGTGGGGGTGTTTAGTCTGTTTCACATTGCTCTAAAGATACTACGGGAGACTGGGTTAATTTGTGAAGAAAAGAGGTTTAATTGACTCACAGTTTCACTTGGCTGGGGAGGCGTCAGGAAACTTAAAATCATGGTGGAAGGCGAAGGAGAAGCAAGTACCTTCACAAGGTGGCAGGAGAGACAGTGAAGGGGGAAACACCAGACACTTACCAAACAACCAGACCTAATGAGAACTCTTTCACTATCAGGAGAACAGCGTGGGTGAAACCGCCCCCATGATCCAGTCACCTCTCACAGGTCCCTCCCTTGACATGTGAGAATTGCAAAAGTTTGTTTCAAAATTCTTCTTTCTAGATCCCATTCCTTAAGAAATATTATGAAATAGCCTGTTGCATCATTCACCCCTAACATCCTATTCCCTCTCTGTCCTTAAATGAACATCTAGGCTATGTACTTAAGGTATTTATTATTAAATGTACTTAAGTATTTATTTATTTATTACTGGCTTTGAAGTCTCTGTAAAATGATGCTGAATTATGTATTAGTCTATATTCCCATTTAGTTTTTATGTACTTTCCTGTTCTCCTCACATGGGTTATTTTTCCATGTTGTAAAATATGCTCCATTTTCCCCCCAGTAATATTTGCTAGATAAACTAAAAATCTGTCTCTTTCTTAGCACATATTTGTTTTAGATAGCTGATAGAAGTAAAATTAAGTGACATGTAAATTTCTGTGTTATTAACTATTAATTTAATCTTTTCATTCTCCCTAAGTAATTTCCACATATTATTTACTTTCATTCTCCCTAAGTAATTCCCACATATTATCCCACAGATAAGCTGAGATGAAGAACCTTACATGGCCGTAATGCCCACATATTATCTTGCTTTCAAGTTCTAAAATTAAATAACTGCATGGCTTACGTAGTTTCCTCTTTCTCATCAGAAGCGAAATTTCATTTTTTATGATCACTGTGAATGATTTAAACTTAAAAAAAGGAAAGAAAGAAAGATTGATTTTCTTAAATAATGAAGGTAAATTATTTTTAAGGCCATGTTGCATCTAACAACTGTGAAATAAAAATGGATATTACCAATGGAAGAACAGACATGAAGTCAAGATGAGGGCTGAAAATTCCTCACCCACAGTTCATTTTGTATGTGTATGCTGATAAGAATGGTTTGTTATTAGAATAGTTTGCAACAATAAACCAGTATGGAACCTGGGAAATTTTTATTTTTATTTTTAGAAAAGTAAACTGTCTAAATTTCTCATTCCTTGTGTATCTGCCTAAATGAAGGGAGGTGAAGAATAGTCAATCCTCAGTGAACATGACATTTTTATTAAGCTCAGGGTGACACAGCTGCCCATACTGCACAGTGAAATGTTCCAATTTAAAATGGAACAACGCTCTTATATAACAAAATGGCACAGATTGGGCCATTGGCCAGCTAGCTTCATTTTATATTCTGTGTAAGTACAGTTCTTAATTTGGTGAATGAAAGAGTTGATTAGTCATCAACATTTATCAGCTGTTATACTTGACGGCCTTCAGTGCACTGTACCAGATGCTATGGAAAGTTACAAAGAAAATGAAACACTTGTCTCTGCCCTTACCTTAGAAATCAGTGAGAAGGACCCAGTAGAAATCCCCATCAATCAGCTGCAGAGATGTTGAAATATACAGCAGCATTTTTTAAATAAAATGCTCCAAAGGAAGAGTCTTTGCTTTATTATCTCCTTATCTCCAGCACCTAGTCCTGTACCTGGCACAG